ATCACTACAATGTGAAAGAGAAAAACCATTCCCATCATGACCTGGAAAAAACCCACTATTGGCACAGGTGGGTACCAAGCCTGTAATATACATGACAGATTCAAGCCATAGCACAAACAAAACCTAAAACATTTACTATCTGCTCCCTTAGAGATAAACTTTCCCTACCCAGAATGTAATTTTGTTGAATGAGCCCAGACAAACCCAGAGAAACCACCCAAACAACTCTCAGAATGGAAACATATGTGATGATGAAGAGGAGGAAGAGGAGGAGGAGGAGGGGGGGAGGATTTTATAGTACTTAGGGACTGAATCTAGGACCTTATGCATGCCTGTTGTACAATGAACCTCTTCCTGGGGATAAGCAGCATGTCTTCTCACCCCAGATAGTGATTTCACTACAGACCAAAGCATGCTCACCACCCTAGTCCAACCTGGTGAATCAATGAGTTTTATTGGGGTTACTTACAGGAGCAGAAACGGGTTAGAGCTGTACCTCCTAGGTCCATCCCAGAATAGGGGATGGCTCTCAAAACCAGGAACCAGGAATATACTGCACAGCCTGCGAAACAGGTTGCAGTGTTCTTTCCAAATGACTCTGGGCTAATCCTCTTCCAGACAGCTCAGCTGGTGTCTGCTTCTTCTTCTTTTTTTTAAGATTTATTTATTTTTATTGCTATGAGTACACTGCAGCTGTCTTCAGACACACACTAGAAGAGGGCATCGGATCCCTTTGCAGATGGTTGTGAGCCACCATGTGGTTGCTGGGAACTGAACTCAGGACCTCTGGAAGAGCAGTCAGTGCTCTTTACCACCGAGCCATCTCTCCAGCCCTGGTGTCTGCTTCTTCACAGGTCTGGTCTAAGGATTTCTTTGCAGCTTTTTTTCTCAGAGTCTTCCTTGCCACTGGGGTTGTCTGAGAGTCTCCTTTGCAGTTCAGCTTTCTTCCTTCTGAGGAGACTCTCTCAGCTTTTGTAGATTACTCTGGCAAGGAGCAGCCTAGTGAATCCAGTCAGTTTCAGGGGCTGCCTGAAGATGTGTTGAGGTTGCTTACCTTCCTGCAGGATTGGTGTTTCAACCTCCAAGGGAAACTGTTACACAACCAACTGGCAAATACTCTACTGCTGAACTATATAATCAGATTAAATGAATATTTGGGTTTTTTTTTTTTTTGAGACAGGGTTTTTCTGTATAGCCCTGGCTGTCCTGGGACTCACTCTGTAGACCAGGCCTCAGAAATCTGCCTGCCTCTGCCTCCCAAGTGCTGGGATTAAAGGCATGTGCCACCACTGCCCTGCTAAATGAATATTTGTATAGGCAACTAAACTTTGGGATGGCTTGTTCTGCAGCATAGGTAGCCGAGTCCCAGATATTAGATGCTATAGGAACAACAACCACAAACACCACTGCCACCACAACAGCAAGAGATTACATCTTAAAAGCTTGTAAAGTATTCCCACATGTTTCATTTGAGAACTTAATTCACCTGATCTTAAGTCCCTGAGTCTTAGCATTCTAGAGTGTTCTGGAAGTGAGCACCTGCACTTGCTAGTTATCCAAAGATCATTAAAAAACATTTTAGAAAGAAGTGGTGTTGTAAGCTTCCTAAAATTAAAGAAGTAAAAATCTAACGTTGATCTCTTCAGGGCAGTCTATTCTTTTCTTCAGTTTATTAATCACTTTAGAGTGGAGACTGCCCACTTGGTCATTAATAGACCACTCCTCCACGAAGTACGCTGTCAACCCAGGTGGGTGAGGAGTGCTGTGATAAGTGTATATCGCAGGGCAGCAACCATTTTACCCTCTGTAATGGGTACTTCCTAAGGCCAGAACTAAGAAACAGAATCATGGCTGTGATTCAGATCTGAATATCTACACAATGCCAACCAAGCCCTGGATCCCACTACCAGGATGTAAACTCAGTTTTCTTGTATTCCCATTACAACATTCAACTCATCCTGGTTTTCAGAAAACTTTCTAGTTGCCACAAATAATTTTAAATGTGTTCACTCTTCCTTTTCTTTCACAGCAAAGGAAGGAAGGAACTGGATAAGAAAGAGACTGTTGAGCCAAGGGATTAAAGAGATGGACTGTGTCTTGATTTTGAAGAAAGGATCAATATAATCAATTCTACATATCTGAATTTATTTTTGCTTATGACGATGGTGTCTGCTTTCCAAATTGTGCCCCGATCCCTAGCCTCATCTTCTGGAGTGTATGTCCCTTCACTCTGGACGTGGACAGTCTTGTATTTGCTTCTGAATAATAGAATGTGCTAAAGATTTTGCTACATGACTTGCCTGAGCATGTGTGTTCGTGTACAGGTGTGTGTACACTCACATAAGCACTTGCACACATAGAGAGTGGTGTTACTTAGGCACTGTCCACGTTGGGGTTTTTGTTGTTGTTGTTTTGCTTTCCTTGTTTATTTATTTATTTATTTTTGAAACAGGGTCACTTGCTGGCCTGGAACTCACCAATTAGGTTAAACTGTTTATCCAGCAGGCCTCAGGGTTCTGCCAGTCTCTGTTTCCCTAATTCTGGGATTTAAAACATTTTTTCAAATGTAGGATAGGGGATCCCCTTGCTGTGCAGTGCTTGTTCCAGTTGAGTCACATGACTCTCAGCTAGCTTTTTCCTTTTATCTTGTCTTGGACTTATAGAACCTTAGCTCTGAGGAAGTTCAGATCAACTGTCAAGGGTAAGTGTAGAATCTAATCTTGCACAAGAGAAAACTACCGATAACATCCACTGATTTGGACTGAAAACCTGTTTTCTTTTGGGAGGAAGGTTTACAATGCTACCTTTGTTTGTGGGATCTTTTGGGTGATCCCTTGTAAAAGGGAGACGGTCATAGCAAACTTGGCAGAGCTCTTACCTAGCAGAATTTGAGATTTTTAACAAATGTGTTCACACCCATGTAAGTATTTCTGACATAAGTCAGAGACCAGAAGATTGAAGTAAAAGATTACATAGTTTGGACTTCTTTCCACTGTTGAAATGGATATGGGAGACTTGATCTTTTATATGCCTATGTTAACCTAAGAAACACCTAGATTTTGTCAAATCTTAAAAGATGCATCATAAGACGCTGCAGAACATCACTGTTTTTAGTAGAAGCATTCATAGAAACTCTTGGGAGACCCAAACTACAAAAACACAGAGCTCAGGAACTCTCAGAGTAAATCTAGCTTCATCTCAATTCTGCTGAATAGGTGCCAGAAAATCCAGAGGGTAATTATGCTACATATCTAGGTACACAGGCTTGTTTCCAAGGTCTCATGACTGATGTCACAATTCCTTGTACCAAAACCTCACAGAACCTGATGCAAAGGGACAACTGATCAAAAATTAGTTTGCTAACATCAGCAGACTTTCAGTGGTGTGACACTGTTCTGCTTGTTGGGACACTTACCATATCCCTCTACCCTGACACGTCCACGGAGAATCTGACCAAGAGAAATTACCCTGTGTGAGAGTGAGTCTTAAAGGGTTTTGTTTGTCTTGTTCACTGATTTGGTTCCAGTGCTCTGACATTGTCTTGTTTAGTTAAGTGACACTCTCGACAGCTGGTTTTCATGTTAAAGTTTGGTCTTACAAGCTTATCTAAAGGACACGTCACCGCTGGTTCCATCTGACAATCTTGGGAGTGTTATTGCCTTATCTACACATTAGTCGTAACTATTCTCTGTTCTCGAAGGAATTTAAAATACACTCCTTCAAAGAATTTTCAAAATCTTTGACATAGTGCCTATTAAAGACTGAGGAGAAACATTCTCTGACTTTGTTTATAATGGAACAGTTTGGAAAATACCTCTCCTTACTTCTGTGGTATTAGCTTTGGGACAACTGAGATTGTGTTTAGGGTTCCTATTCTCTCCCATGGGAAACAATATGCAGAGTTTATGGAATGTGTGAAAGAGTCCTACCTCGAAAAACCAAAAAACAAAAACAAAAACAAAAGCAAGAGGAAGAAGTGAAGGAGTCCTACCATCACATCAAGCTTCTGGTTCAAGAAGCTGCCACTTAAATTACAGAGCTAAAGGCAAGTTAAATCATGCTGGGAGTACAAACATCAGACAAACAGGACTGAGCAACTTCTAAAAGTCCTGCTAAGAAAAAACAGGTTGTGCAACATTTATATATTCTACAAGGACTCATAGAGGCAATATTCCAATCTTGATAAGATCATCTTACTAGAAAACCAGTGTGACTTTCTGATGTGAACATGGCATACATACTAGGCAATACTGTAAAATTCTAGTTTCTCAAAATAACGATAATGCTGATCCGGCTGTGTTGAAGTCATTAGTTTAGGAAACGCAATCAAGCGTCTAGGAATGGGTGGGAAAGCGATTCTTGTGAGTTGCTCAGTTGTTGAATTTTGGATGCATGTATTTAGGTGTTCACTGAAAAATCGTTTCCTTTTCACTGCAGTGAGGCCAATCTGTTCACAGTCCCAAAGCCAAGAGACCAGAAAGAGTGTTTTCGGACAACACTTTGTTTCCAGGGGTCTTTGGACCAAAACCAGGAAATTTTATTTTTGAGTGGAACCACCTCCATCCAGCTCTCTGGACCAAAGGCCTCTCCTCTCCGCTCCCGCAGAGAGGCACCATTTGGGTGGAGATGACTCAGAGTGGAGGTGACCAAGTGTGCATAGCAATGGACTATTTCTAGAGGCAGTTGGGGGCGTGGGCGTGGGGGTGAGAGCGGGGTGCCAGGACTCTCTGAGCCTCTGGTCCACATACCCCAAAGCTTTCCTTCCCTGCACTCCTGAAAGGAGAACCAGCCTGGCTTCCTCCTTTCCCAGTCAGCCCTGGGGTGAAATCTGTTGGCTATGCTTTTAGGCAGATCGCCCGAAGACTGCACGAGGCAAAGAGCCGGGGTGGGGTGTGGGGGGTGTGGGGTGTGGGGATGTGTGTGGGGGGAAAATCTTACGCAAAGCCTGCGGCGATGATGCTGGCGCCCCCGGCAGAGGCCGGGAGCTGTGTGGTAATAACGGCACAGAGCTGCGGGCACAGGGACTCCCGCGCGCGCGCGTGCGTGAAGGACGCGCGCTCCCGTTCGCCGTGCGTGCGGCTGCGGGGAGCCCGTGTTCGCGCGCGCACCGCTGCGGGTGCCATTGGCGCGCGGGAGGTGAGTGAGGAGCGAGCGAGCGGGCGGGCGGGCGTGGCGGGGAGACGGTTGGGTGGCGGCCGAGCGCCCCCCTCTCGCGGGTCGCAACCTTCTAGGTTTGTGGGGCAGGGCTCCGAGGCCCCGGGCGCCGCTCGCTCCTCTGTGGATCGCGGCGCCGCGAGCTGCCACGCCCTGGGCTCTGGCCTCCGCGGCTGGTCTCGGCTGGCTCTCGAGGCTCGGGACAAGGGACCCGAGAGTCTGGGCCCACTTGGAGCGGCAGCCCGTGCGCTTAGCGGGCCGGACCACCGCCGCCGCCCCGATCCATTCTGCCCTTCCTCCGGGCGTTGTAAGCCTGTGGAGTGGCCTGGTTGTCACCGTGGCCAAGGAGAATCGGAGCATACTCTCTGCACGCCGGTGGACCTGCAGCAGGCCCCGAGGGAGGAACGCACATTCCAGGCGGGAAAGGGCCTGTGGTCCCCAGGGTAGGAGAGTGCTTCATGGGGTGGGATGGCGAGGAGGATGGACTCCAGGAAGGGAATGGAAGATTTGGAAAGAGGAAGGCGAAGACTCCTAAAGATTAAGGCTACAAAATTAATAAGATGTCTGAGTGAATGTACAAAGCATTGTAAAGGGAGTCTTAGATGGAGGGAACCTCACTTTTTTAGGTTGTAAAGGATGCTGCCAGCTGCAGCACGCATAGCCATGTTTGGTGTCTGTGACTGCAGGACTGAAAGGCAGGCATTGATTTTTGCCTTAAGTAGAATATATATTCACATTCCCAGCCTTTAGGAGAAGCTGCTTGCTTTGTTAGGAAATACTACTGCCAAGGAAGGAGTTGCCCAACCGTTTGTTTTCGGAGGTAGGACGATTGGAGTTTGCAGTCTTCACCCAGAACAAATCTGTGTTTTTGCTCCTGGTGTTTGAGGCAGAAGCAGGGAGTTTGTGCTCTCTGAAGTGGTGACACCTCATATTGAACTTCCACAACTCTAGGAAGGGACCTTCCTTTTACTGAGAGAAAAACGTGGCACCTTCTCTTTCACATTGAAAGATTTAATTACAATGAATGGCCATTGGGGAACTGCAGCATTAAAAATATTTCATTATCAAAACTGTTCAAATACAGTTCTTGGTTATCGAATGGGACAAGTAGAGAACAGAGAGGAAGAATGCCTCCAGGCCTATCCAGAAACGAAGAGCCTGCTGATGGATAACTTGTCCTAAAGCAACTTGTCAGGGAGAGACCATTGGGTTTAGCTCTGGTAGCATTAATGTTATGGTATAGTACTTCTTTTTTAAAATTATTTTCTAAAAAAAAAAAAAATTCTGTGTGTTCTGTCTGCATGTATGTATGTGTAGCAGAGACATGCCTAGGGCCTGCTGAGGTCAGAAGTAGGGCATTGCACCCCCTAGAACTGAAGTTATGGGAGGGAGTGAATCCTCCACATGAGGACCAGGAACCGAACTCTAGTCTTCTGCAAGAACAACAAGTGCTCTTAACCACGTCATCTCTCCAGCCCCAAGATAAATATTTTCTTAAATTAGTTCTTTGCAGCAGATCTATTTTAACTAAAGCAGATAATAAAACACACACACACACAGAGACTCACAGACACACACACACAGACTCACATATGCATTTATCTAGTGATATAATCTCATCTGAAATTCTATAAGTGGATTTATCATGTTTTTCATTTGAATTTAGTTTTGATTTATATTAGCTGAAAATGCCCAGTGTGGTACCATATCTGGGTTTTGGGTATCACAGGCTTTAATATATTCTGATGTGTTTATTTTCTCTGAAGATTTGAAGAGGTGCAAGATTTAAGCTCTACTGAGTCATTTTGGATAATATATTTTCCCCCAAAGTTGAACTTTTATTAAGTACGGTGGTACTGCAGGAGAAGTTGATAACAGGTTATATTCAACCTTGAGTTTAGAGTAAATTCTTTCTCTCCAGTAAAATGCTTCACTAGATGCCTAGCTTTGCCCTGAGAGGAGGGGTGATTCATCTCCTCAGCCCCCAGCTCTTCTCTATCGTGGTAAAGCTAGAATGTCATTTCAGGAGATGCCTTTTTCCTATTTATACCTATACACCATCCATACAGTTTGCTGTGTGATAGGGATCTACTCCATGGTAAAGAGCCACACCTCACAGGTAAAGGCAACTGGAGGTCAAGCAAGGTACCTGTAGGTGAGCCCACCCATCAGATGCTCTCAGAGCTGCAGTTCAGCAGGCTATGGGCAGACATCTCCCTAGGAACTGTGGAAAATGATATTATTTTAATAAAAGTTGCATAAGCATTGATTTGCTTTTTTTTTTAAAAGCAAGATTCTTGCCTTATTCTGAATTAGAGGAAAGGGGAGGGAGGTGAAGGTGTGAACTAGGGTGAGGCCCAAGAACTGTAGAAGATTGACGCTCCTTGAAGCCCTGTGACATTAAGGAGAAGGCAAAACCAGATTATAAGTGTCTTCTGCCACGTGTCTCTGACCCTGAATATAATTGACTAGGAAGTTAGGCCTTTTGCCCGCTTGTTCTCTACACAGCTGAGGTAACAGTTCCCAGCTTGGTCTACTCTTCTTGAGCCAGTTGTTAGCCTAGGAACTCTTTCAGTTCCTTTGGGTCATGAGGAAAAAAAAAAGACAAGATAAATTGTGGTGGTTTGAATATGCTTGGCCCAGGGAGTGGCGCTATTAGGAGGTGTGGCCTTGTTGGTGGAAGTGTGTCACTTTGAGACCTTCCTCCTAGCTGCTTGGAAGCCAGTCTTCTTCTATTTGTCTTTGAAACAAGATGTAGAACTCTCAGCTTCTCCAGCGCCTGCCTGGATGCTGCCACGCTTCCTGCCTTGCTGATAATGAGCTGAACCTCTAAACCTGTAAGCCAGCCCCTGATTAAATGTTCTGTCTTACAAGAGTTGCCTTGGTCATGATGTCTCTTCACAGCAATGGAAACACTAATTAAGACATAAATCTCTGGAGCTTTTATTAATGTTGTAATGTAATGCTGTAAGGTATGACTTTCATGGATTAAGAGCAAACATTCCCAGACTGATGCCTGTTTGATAGTCATAATCAGTCCTTACGGTGCATGGGTCCTGTATTCATAGATCCCACCAGCCACTGAACAGAAATATTTAGAAAAAAAGGCATGTGTCCTAAAAATGCCCAGACATTCTTTTCTCGTCAGCATTTTCTAAACAATGTGTAGAGCAGCTATGTACATCATATTTGCATTGACGACTCAGTGGTTAAGTGCATCAGCTGCTCTTCCAGAAGATCTGGGGGTTGAAGTTCCAGCACCCACATGGCAGCTCACAGCTTCATTCACACCGTTTCCAGGAAGGTCCTGATACATTCTTCTGGTTTCCATGGACACTGCTCTGTGTGGTACACGTATATATACAGGGAAGGCACTCAAACATAAAATAAATATATATACCTTAAAAAGTATAGGGATCTGTATGTTATATGTGAATATTGTGTGCATTAGCACGAGTGCACACACACACACACACACACACATACACATATGCACATGACACACATATATATCCAAGCATCATTCAGTTCTGTTGTCTGTGGGGAACCTAGCTGCACACATTTGATTATAGTTGCCTGTGGTTCCATTGTTTTAACCCAAAGAAGAGTGAAGCAGCCAGATAGGGACATATGAGCTGGAAAAAAAATTAATTTACTCTCTTGTCTTTTGTGGAAAACAAAATTTTTGCCCACCCTTTAGACAGAATATGGATAGGATTCTGAAAAATTCCTGAGCTATGCACTTTGAATATACTTTAGGTGGATGTGCAAGTTCTCTCTAGGTAGTCCTGGCTGTCCTAGAGCTCAACAAGTAGACCAGGCTGGCCTCAAACTCACAAAGATCCACCTGCCTCTGTGACCCAAGTGCTGGGATTAAAGGCGTGCGCCATCGTGCCCAGCTTGCTGACTACACTCTGACAAGTTCGAATAAAGACATACCATTGCCTTTTAAAGCATCTCATCAGCCTGCAGCCATCTGTCCCACCACGACAGTAGAGCTTCAGTCTTCTTATATCCGAAACTGTATTTGGCTACTGCTTTAGTTACAGACTTTGACTTTGAAATGCACTTACCCAGTTTCTTTTTATTGTGTGTGTATGTGAGTACATGTGTGTGAGTGCATGTTTGTATGTGAGTGTAGGTGGATATCTTTATTCCTTGTTTGCTTGTCACCTTATTTTTTAATTTTAATTAAAGATTTATTATTGTGTGTGTGTGTGTATGAAAATTAGTGGACAACTTGCAGTCTTGTCTGTGCACCATGTGGCTTTAGTAGATTGAAATCAGGCCCTCATAGCTGGTTTGCTGGCAACCAGCTTTATCCAGTGGTCTGTCCCACTAGTCTTCACCTTATTTATTTGAGACGGGGTCTAACTGAATCTCAAGCACATTGGTTTGGTTAGGCTGATTGGCCAGCAAGCCCCAGAGTTCCTCTTGTATCTGCCTCCCCGATGCTGGGATCACAGGTGCTGCTGGACCCAGATTTTTGCATGGGTACATGGTCTTCATGCCTGTACAGCAAGTGCTTTAGCGACTGAGCCATCTTCCCAGCCCCCTACCTGTTCCCCCTCCCCCCAGAAAAAATATGATAGTATGAAGAAAGTATTAAGTAGTCCTTAATCTTCGTGTAAGCTGTGTAATTTTCACCTTTGTTAGACATCAACACAAGCTTTGTTCCCTATCCTGCACACTGATTGCTGGTTTGGAGGCATTTGAACTAGCAACCTTTCCAGTTTTCTCCTCATGGGTTTTAATCATGAGGTTCAGGTTAAACTTAGAGTCAGGAGTATTTGGCCTTAGGCTGTGTTGAGTGACAGCAGTTTGAGGACTGAGTTTGTCTTCCACACTGCTGTCTTAGCCTCTAACACAAGCTGCCATATGAGATGTGTGAATGGATTAGTGAATAAAAGATTTACAGGTGACTGAGGGACTGACAGTTAGTGACTTAGCCTGATGGAGAAGATAGATGAGAGATCTGGGCT